TTGCGTGCGACATGGCCAGACCAACGTTGCGACTCACAATGAAAACACTGATATATTAGTCACATGGGCCTAGAACTCCCTCCACACTTCATTTAACTTAATTTTACCAAAGTGCAGACATAAGCAGAATGCTCTTGCTATTTGTGAAAAACTAAACGGCAAGAAATGCATCACTGTGAACTCCAGTATACTCTGAAATGCTTTTCAATATAAAACAAATGAACAGCATAAACCAAAGTCATGCCGCAGTAGGCAATTTTTCTTCTTCTTTAATTTTTATCTGTATTTACCTTGTTTTATTCTTTGATTTTCATAATATATCTAAAAACAATCAAATATCAAGTACATGCTACGGTGACTTCTAGCCAAGTCAGCAAAACACAGGACGACTATTTTGTAAAGGAACGAATGTGGTGGTCTGCAGGATGGTCACACAGTCACACCAGACCCCAACATGAATCATGAGCAACCTGTTCACATAATAATCTGACATCCACACTGGGAAGAGGGGAACAGGTGGGGGTGGTTCAAGCACTATTATTATTATTATTATTACTATTATTTATTTTATTTGTTTATTTATGTGTTTTCCCTAGAAAAATGCAATTTTTTGGCACATTAACAATAAATAAATGCGTATAAATATATTAATAAGTAAATATATCAGTATGTGGCAGTATGTGACCCCTCTTTTAAAATAATGTTTACAACTGCCATTACAAAGAAAAAAAAATGATCATGACGTTGTGTGTGCAGATTAAGCTGTGGGTGGGTGTCATAACAGCTGGCAGTCAGCTGTGTTGTGACAATCAGAAATACGTCCAGCAGACTGAGGTCGTTCATAAAAACTGGTGAACTTCAACATTGCTTTCTTTACTGCAGATTGCCTCCATTTGCCCTTTGCTTTTTCACTGCTCGTGGTGGTTTTACAGATGTCAGCCAGTCGCGCCTCAGGCTGGATACACATATACAATCTGTCAAAATAAGTGACAAGTCTTGCATGGGAACAAATTAGACGGAGGAAGATGTGACTAAAAATACACTCTCGGTAAAAGATAAAGCTGCATTCTACATCTTTACAGATCTATTCCAAATACTGCCGTACTGCCTCTAAAAGAAAGATAATTCAGGTTTACTACAATGTCTGTCTTTATTTTAATACTGTAGTTTTGGCCGTCATTTCTTTTGCTTATGGTAACATTCCATTCATCTAAGTAACGGATTAGACTAGATGAGAGGAACATGGCGACATATGACAAAGTCTGATGGGGTGAGAAACGAACAGTCAGAACATTTATCTAAATGGAAACCATAAACAACTAAGACAAGTATGGAAGGTCAAAGTGGAAACAGGAAGTTGGTCTGTAAACTTTGATGGACCTTGATACCCCTGACAGTTTGGATTTGGATTGTACCATTTGTCTTTGTCCACTCTTCCAAATAGATTGGACTTAATTTTTTTTTTATCCTGTATGATCATCTATTCTTCTTGCCTCACCCATTCTTTTTCGTGACGCTTACACATTCCCATCATCACCCACTGCTCCTGAAAACAGTTCATACCCTGAGGCCTCCACCACTCCTGCCCCCGATCAGCTTCTATGGGTCTCTATGACAGATGGGTTTGCTGCAACGTTTCCGTCCTAACTCAAACTCCTCTAAGACCGGCCCATCTGATAATTAAAACAGATGAGAGCATATTAAAAGAATGAAGTGCGTGGAAAAAAGCTGACAAAAATACCAGAGACCAGATGCTCACTAAACTCTGCCACTCAGTGTTCGGGCCGGTCCCCTCTCCTCTTTCTCTGCCTCGATCCTTCCCCTCTCCGCCGAGATGCAAAATGGAGCAGTTAATAAAATGAACACTGTAATAACCTCGACACAAGCTGGGCATTCATACTGAGCAAAGCTACGACCACACAGCCACGAACGAAGAAACAAGCGTGAGGTTTGCAAAAATAAAATAAAAATAAAAATTAGCGCAGGGAGGGAGTAATCAATCAATAATTATAGGTCTAGAATTGAAGTGATGGATTGTGGAGCTGTGCTTTAGTTGTCAATATTGTTCTGGCTCCTCTGTGACAGTAACTGGCTGAAGAGACAAAAGGTAAGAAAGGACAAAAGAAACAAAAATGCTTTGCCACAGAAGCCTTTTGTCCTGGTTTACCATGTCCTTTAAGTAATTGTATACACAGACACACACACACACACACACACACACACACGCACACACACACACACACACACACACACACACACACTTCTGAGACCATTCCTCTGGCACCTGAGCCTCACTATACAGGCCACACAGTACAGTGAGCTTTTGTAGTAGTGCACTGGAGCACGCAGAGGCCACGGCTGCAGCAGCAGCAGCATCTGGGCTGAGAAACGTTTGCCACTTTCTCTACCCCATCCCTCCTGCCACAGCTGGGGCTCGCCAAGCTACAGGGGACCTATGGCAGTCAGGAAGCACAGACGATAAACAATGACAAAACCCTTATGTTGTCAGGGTCGCTCTGGGGTAAATAGTCAGGGGAGAACATGAGAGAGTGAGAGAGTGGCAGTGGGAAGAGATGAAGCAGACATGCCTACTGTCATATAAGCCAAGAAATGACGATGAATACATTAGATATACACAATAAAAAGCTTTTATTAGGGTTTAATCGTAAATAGAAGTTGATTTTTTTTTATTTTTGGAGCTTGATAATCCAACTTTCTAGCAATAATAACGGTTCAGAAATGATGGCAACGCGCATGGTGTTGCATCAGTAGATTACATTGCTTTAGCTTCTTAGACATGGTTAGAAAGTTTGTTCACAAAGTAATCTAGGCCACAGGCAGTAGTGTTTGTTTGCCAGCTCTGTGAGAACGGTGGGAGGAGGGAGGGGATGGGGCACACTGCTGCCAGCAGCACAGAACAGGATTATTGGAGTCTGGACAGAGAGATTTTTGGTAGCTGTCTCACCATGATTTACATTTGCAACTTTAGCTATATTGTAGTTTTCTGTTGTTTCTAGGAATGATCACGTAGATTGGTTTTGTCTTACAATTTATTTCTCTCGCATATCCAACAAATCTACACTGCACAGAAAGGGATAGCTTGTTTTAGCTGACTGAATGCATCCATAAACCTGAAATTGCCACAGAAAGCCGACTTGGTCTGCTTCAAGCCTGCAATAAATGATTTTTTTGACTATGTGACGGCAGTGGAAAAAGTTGGAAAAGCAACATTGATATATCACCAGCAGGCACCAGGATTTATCCCAGCAGGCACCGGACGTCAATGTAATGTGAGAAAAACGTTGAACTCTAAAAACTCTAATGTTGGACAGACGTTAAATTTTGGCTGGAAAATGAAAATGGGGTTGACGTCAAAACCCAAAGTTGGCTAATTGACATTATGACATTTAGCAGATGACGGTATTTAGCAGTATTTAGATACACTGTTATTACAAAAATGTCTGTTATAGCTGCCTTAAGTCCTTGTCAGCTCTAAGAAAAATCAGGCAGACACAAGCTATATCAGGGCCGATACCTCAGGTGTGTTCCATTTGTAGTAAGTATGTGTGTGTGTGTGTGTGTGTGTGTGTGTGTGTGTGTGTGTGTGTGTGTGTGTGTGCATGCGCATGTGTGCGTGTGTGCGTGTTGTATGACTAACCTCATTAATGCATGGTTGCACGCTGCTGAATAACTACATGGTGGAATGGGCAAATAATGTTTGGGGGTGTAAGGTGAGGCAGACATGGTCAGTGGGAGTGGAGGAGGAGGAGGGAGCACAGGCAGAGAGCTAGATTAACTATTCTGAAGGACACAACAGGGACATAATACATATAATGTCGCATGCTGCAATATTTATACCATATATATGATTTGATGAAACCAACAAAGGGACAGGAAATGGAGCTGTCAGAAACAGAGCAGTACCAGTATTTATCATGATGCTGGGAATATATCTAGAGTCCCAGTTATGCAGAGGTGCATGATAATAATGAGATTTGCTGATTATGCTTGGGACGAACAAGTTTGCATTAATATTATTGCATTTGTTAATATTTATATTCCATTCTTGTTTGTATTCCTAACCTGTTTTACATTTTGATGTCCTATACAGCAGATGACCTGCAAACTATTTCAATATTATCTATTATGTTTTTCCCAGTTGCTTTAATGTGAGGATCTCTCCTTTCTCAGGCTCCACTGTCAGCAAAAAACCTTGTGCCTGTATGGATGCAGACATTCACAGAAATTTCATTATTATTTTTCTGCATCTATGTAAGTCAACACATATTTTCAGGAATGCGATAAATATTAATATTTATGCTTACGTTTTTTGATGTATTGATTTTTCTTAAGTGCCTTTCTTTTTGCTTTCACGTCATGTACTGTATGAAGGACAATGTATGGACTTGCAGAGGACATGCAGGAGAAAATGCACTGTCAGAGTCAGTGGGGTAAGAGCTCTGAAATGAGAATCTGCTCAACCTTCACACAGAGTATTTTCTGTGCTTTATGCTCATTAGACAAGCTCAAGCCTACAGAGCTGCAGCTAGAGCACAGGCTGCAGTTCAAGGAGAGAGTTGGAGGTAAGAGTAATGATGGCATGAATGAATTCAAACAAGTCCACACACTGTCGTCGCTCCCACTGCCCTCCACCAGCTATCTAAGCACGCAGTTGATGTTAGTGTAGCTCCATGGCACTGTATTGAACCACCAGCAATAAAAAGTTATCAGCTCCAATCATATGTGTGCACTACATCAACAGATAGATTAAAACATTGACTGATGGAGACAGCACCTCTGGCTAAAATCAATAGCAGCTTACATACGCAGCTAGTATGACGCTAATAACGAATAATGCGGCATCGATTGCAACGCCGAACTGCATCCATTGAGTTGCAGATAAAGGGCTGCAGCAAATAATAGAGCGCATGATTATCTCTGAGTGTGTGGGGGTGGGACTGTGTCTTTGTTTGTGTGAGGAGGGAGGGGTTCGTACTCACCCGTAAGTGGTGTTGCTGGCCCTCTTACTTGCTGCCCTGGAGCGACTGGACTTCAGCTCTCCACTCATGCTCATATCTGCATGGAAGAGCAACCAATTAACTTTGTAGTGATACAGTAAAGAGCAACATAACACAACACAGCAGGGGTGCAAAGCATATAGGCTGAGAAGGATGTTCAGATGATTACCCGACCCGTGAACCCATATGGATCATCTGGTCATGTTTATATGTTTCTCCTACACTCAAGTTTAATCTTTATTTGAGCAAAATGAACCTAATCTGTTGTAGGTGTTGTCATCATTTGACATGGTAATGACTAAAGGGCTGGCTCTGACTGACAGCGGCTGTTTTTCTTGTCCATCTTCTATCACTCTATGTTGATTGCTTCTGCCACTCCGAGCCAGCTGTTCACTTCCATTTTTGTCTCCAATTTTCCTGCCTAGATCAGAGACTTGATGCTGCATTAGACTTGTCTCAAAAGCTGAACCCCATGTCTCTCTGTCTTTGTATGTTTCTCGCTGCAAACACCTCCATACGCATGTTCCAATGAGACAGTTAACCACCAGCCAGCTTGATTACATGATATACCAGCAGCTCACTGTTGGTGCTGTGGTGGGTTTGCTTTGATTTACCAGAGGTAAGAGTAAAAGAGAGAAAAAGCAGAGAGAGAAGAATAAAAACAGGAAAGGGGAGAGAGGATAAAATGAGAGGAGAGGAGAGGAGAGGAGAGGAGAGGAGAGGAGAGGAGAGGCCAGTCTGACATGGACAGATGGGTGGTGAATGGAGCGTGACTGGGCCAGCTGCACGTACACTCACACAGCATGGCTGTCAAATGGCTGGAAGCTACAATTAATTAAGTAAGGGTCTGAATGTGTGAAAAGAAATTTAGACACGTGTATGTACCTTTACTTCCCACAGCAGGGATAATTTTCTGACAGTTTAGAGTCAAACGGTGACCTACTGGATGGCTTCTCTGCAGCCAACAGTGTGTCTTTACTGGTGACGAACTGGCCCCTGCTGCTGAAACATTACACTAACTGTTACTGGCCTGAGCCATGCACATCTGCACTGCCAGAAAACTACTGTGAAGCAAGTATGAGGAAAATAGAGAAAAATAATCATAAGCACGTTTTAGAAACCTAAAAACGCTCTTATGTTTTCCATAACAATGGATCAAGATCCTTCCAAGACCTAAGAGATACATTTAATTTACCAGGGTCATTTTTCTTTTTTTATCTACAGTTGCGCACTCCACTGTAAACATATTGAGTTCCACTGAATCAATCATTACCCACTCATCCACTCATGGAAATAACAGGATTTAAACATGGCAGGGGCTTGTGTCAAATTTGTAAAAAAAAAAAAAAAAAAAAAGAAGAAAATCCAACAACTGAGTTGTTTATTGAGCATCAAGACTGTATGGAACATAGACCTTAAAAGCTGTGAAGAGATCACAGATTTTAGTTTGGAATAATATTCCACTCAGTACGTGTTATTATAATCATCGGTTGCTAAATTATAAAGTTATTCATAGGTCACTTATCTCCAAGAAAATGTTAAACTGACTCGGAGTCCTGTACGTTTATTATGTTCACAAAATTAAATCAGAACATACAGACACGTGTGACCATCAAGGGGTAAATACCCTCTGGATACAAGTAACAAGAGCCTTGATGGATATAATGGATGTAATTATACCCTGCTTTCCAAACATTATTCTATTGGAGGATGACTCATGTCTTGCTTGAAAAAAAAACATTGTTGTGTGGAATAACAGCAGCCACAGAAAGGGTAGTAGTGTGATGGAAATCAGTATGATCTAAATATACACCAGTGGCTTCATTGTTCCATGAGGTTCTTTCTTTAGAATTAACAAAAAGAAGAAAAGAAAATGTTGTGTAATGTCAACACAATATTTCAGTTACTTGATGTTCATGTGTAATGTCTTCTCCTTAATCAGGGAAAAAAGGTAAATAAAAAATTAGGTCACACTGTCAAAAAAGGGAATAATATTGGTATTTTATTTCACACAGCCAAAACTAGACCATAAGACCAGAAATGACTCAGTTTCAGGTTAAATCACCAATATCACTATAAACTCACTCTCATACCATATTGCCCACCTTTACTGGACAGGCCAACATGTTATATGCCAGTGCAGTATTGCCATGTGACAGTAACAACATCTTCCTCCACGAAGAAGATAAAAGTTTTACACCTCATGAGAAGAATGATGTGAATCATCAGAAACAAATCTTCATTTCCGCAGACGTGGGTGTGGCAGGAGGAAAGAAAACTGAATTTTATGATATTTCATGACGGCTACAAGACGACTGTGTGATTGACTGCACGATGAAGGCGTTAGACAGGAAGAGAGGGACGGATGCTGCTGAGCACAGTCGTGTCGCTCTACAGGAGCAAAACCTCAGGAGGCAATCAGACTGCTATTCGGTAAACAAAGTCCTATACGCTACAATTAGCTTCCCCAGAGCAGACTCCACATACGCACCCACACACACACACCTACACAAATGTAAAGTACATTTTTGTTAAATGTATGAATTATAGCTTTGAAATTGTAAATCATACAATTGATATGCTTTTTTAAAGGTTTGCGTTGCACTTTACTTGCACAGATACAATCTCTGTTGCTTTTTTGCCTTTCTGTTTAAAGTTTAAAGATGTTTTAATCTAGAATGGTGGCACATAAATGATGACTATGATGCTGATGATAATTGATTCCTTTTCCCTCCCTTTTCTTTTTTGATCTTATTTTTTTTTCTTCTTGTTCAAGTGAGCCTCACATGGGTTGACCCCCCTACCTGGCTCCTTAAACACAGGCCTTTATAAATCCACTTGAGCGACATGTCTTCACTGACAACTCACATTCAGCTCAGTAATTGTGTCGACTGTGGTGATAATGACTGTGATGATGGTGGTTGTTGTAGTGATGAAATTATACAGTTTTCCCTTACTATTATTCATACAAGTAATTCTTTAGTTTAACCCTATTTAGCACTTCTAACCACTGCATTAACAATTACCAATGCCTTATAAAACACTATTATATAGTTTTATGCAAATATAAGGATATTTTTGCTTGTTCGATAATATATAAAATTATAAACTCTCCTATGAAGACATATTTTGTATTACTAAAACTATGTTTCACTATAAACTATTGTCATTCATTATCTCTTTTTACTGTTTCGAAACCACAAAACAGGGTGTTAAAGTTAAGTGTTAAAGATACTATATCTGATCTTTTTTTAAATTATTCTGTTAATATTATAAATGACAGCACTTCTGTGATTATTTTGTCATTTCAGGAGTTTGTTTCCCTCTTCAGTACAGATGTAAAGATCATCAAAGACAATTATTGTATATCATTTTGCACAAAACCGTCTGTATGGTGTTAGTCTTAATCATGGGCAGCATGACATAATAACATTGTATTGTGAGTCATGATTCTCACTATAGAGCAGTTGAATCAGGGACAAGCCCAAGAGACTCCTGCTAAAAAAAGAAATGGATAGATGGTAGAGAAATCAAGGTAGTCTATTGTAACAGACAGCATGTTTGTGAAATAGGAGCAAAGGGCACCAGAGGACACATCAAGGTCACACACGATCAGCCATAATGAGTTATAAAGCCCCAGTCTCTGCCACAGTCTACAGTCTGTCACTGTGCTTTGTATGAACGGATGTCAGGCTGAGTGCCAGACTGTTGCTCTGTACTGAGCCAAACTGAGAGCTGGCTTAATCACACTACCTGGAAACAAAATTACACGGCAACAATGTGGAAAAGCTTTCCTTGTTCTGAAGACCCCAGTTAGTCACTATCCACCCTGCTTTACCAGCTGCAGGAAAGCTGCCCTGTCTGAACCTGTTCACCTCCACACATCCACAGAAAACACAACTTTTCTATCAGATTCAATTAAGTGTTGTTATGGTTACCTATAGTTTGGCCTCAGGTGATTCATGTATGCAGTCATAAAACTCTGAAACAGACAGTCAGTGATGCCCAAAAAAAAAAAGCAACCTCATCTTCTGCACAACCACATGCACACAAACACACACCACAATAAAATAGTGATGCGAATAAGACATTATATATTAATACGGCGTGCAATTTTAATCTGCATAAAAACATCCCTAAACTTTCTGTCTTCTATCATCATTTTCTATCTTCCTGGTTCTTCACTTTTCCATGCAGTGGGTTGAACTGCATCCTTAATTTTTTCATGTATTTTTCAGTTAACTTCTAAATCACACAACTCATTTCAGAAGACAAATGCCTCGGCTGATAATTGACACTGATATATTCAATTGTATTTCAGTCTATGAAAAAATAATGTTTTGTTATCCTTCTTACTGAGATTTTAGAAACTGTTTTATACCTTGGTGAAAAATTATGTTTTGCTGTTGTTTTCTCTCTTGATACTTGATTGAATTGCTAAAACATGAGTCTTTTTGGTTTTAGTTTTTAGTCGATTGTACACAATAAATTTCTACACTTGAATGTTCACTTTTTCACATCTATTTTGCCTTACAATAATTAATTAGATATACTCTATACTGTATGCTCTGCTTGCATCATATACTGCATTTTAAAACATTTTATAGTTCAGAGAAGTTGCCATTCTTGTTTCCGCATTAATACACACACAACTTTTCTTTTATGTAAAAAGCAGCAACGTGCATGCCTCCTCTCTACTCTCTGTCACGCTGCATCTTGTCCATTTCGTGCACTGCAACTGACCTCAGGTCAGACTTAGTGCCAAGCGGCAACCAGCTTTAGTTTCCACTCTCAGGGCTAAATACAGTGTAATCACAGACATCACTGTCAGCATACAACATGGATTAGTAGATTGGATATAGGCTGATAGGAATAGATGCCATTTCACAGTGATGAAGAGAGAGATGCTGGTGTGTGCCAAAAAGAAAGATTGGCCCCAAAAAAATGCAAATGAAGCTCTTGCATTACAGTTAAGGAGATACAGTAGTGCCATGACTCTACATGGTCTCATAAACCCTGAAGAGATTCCTCACTACAGCAAACCACACAGAGACAGCCCACTTTCACTGTCAAGTCTCTCAGTCTGTAATGAACTGACTCGGCTGAAGCCTTTGCTTTGCGAGCAGAGAGCTGTTTCTGAACTCGCGTGGAAGTTGTGAGAAGATGCAGCCGCTCTGTCTGCATGTCTGGTGAAGTACTCTTATTAGGAATTGTTCATAAAGGCACTATCAAATCTGCAGCTGGAGAAAAGGAAAGGAAAATGTATGCTCAACCCATCGCCACAGAGCAGGATCACAGCACAATTAAGCTTTTGGCTGTTTCTGTCTCACAAGCCAATATTGCCCAGAGAGAAAGAGAGAGAGAGAGAGAGAGAGAGAGAGAGAGAGAGAGAGAGAGAAAGCTGACCTTGCCAATGTGACAGGGCAGGATGAGCTTTGATCATATGTACCTCACAGTTTTGGTAAACATGAAGTTGAAGTTGCTTCACAGTGTTTACATCATAAAGTCCTGCCACAGACCGTTTTCTAAACCACCATCTGGATGGGATCAAAGCCACAGAAAACAGCTAAGAGGCAAAAGTGAAAGGGAAACCTGGGATTGGGGATGAAGTAGAGAGATAAGCTAATAAAGGCTGGAGAGAGAGGCTTGCAGACGGACAGGATAGAGATGGCAGGCGAGGGCACAAAAAAAAGAGAAAGAGAGAGAGAGAGAAAGAGAGAGAGAGAGAGGCACAGTGGAAAATATTGTCTCTCAGAAACACAGTGCTGCATGTAAACATCCACTAACACGCGCACACGCACGCACGCACGCACGCACGCACACACACACACACACACACACACACACACACACACACACACACACACACAAAGGGATAAACCCCGGTATACTCACATCTTGGGCTGAACAGGGTCATATCAGGGATGCAAAACAACCAGCAGACTGTGAGAAGAGCGGCTAGCCGAAGATTTCTTTTTGCTTCTCTCGCAACTCTCTCTTTTTACGTCCTCACTCTTTCTCTGTCTGTGCGTGTGAGTGTGTATGTGTGCGTGCGTTCAGGCTGCCGTTTGGCTGACTGCTGCGATACTACTGAGTCAGTGACAAACCAGCTAGAGAAGCACCGATGGGATGTACCAAACGGTTTCTTGCGGCAGGGGTGGGCAGGGGCGCACCGGACTCTTCCATTAGCAGGAGAGTTGGCAGGAGGATTGGATGAGTGTGCAGCTGGTTTCCCCTCAGCAACAGGAGCTTGGCTGGAGCTCAGGGCTTACAAATTCCAGCCAGGCGAAGAGGAAGCTGCCAGAGCGTGTGTGCGTGATTGTGATTGTATCTTAATGCACATTTCAGAGAGCAGAAACCTGGAGACTGTGCACTTGCTTCACATTTCACTCACACCACTCAGACACACAAGCAAAATGATAAGCACACACAGTCTCAAGGAGGATGATGAGGAAGAAAAAACAATAGGTTAAACATGTTGTAAGAGGATCATCAATGAAATAATTAACGATTTTCTCAAAGCAAGGTTGTCAGAGAATAATATGACATGCATACACGGTGAAGAAAGAAGTGTCTTTTCTCACGGTGTGATTATGTAATACAGGAGACGAAGGGATTAATTACAAGTACAGGAAGTATACTTGATAAACTAAGAAGGATTTATACGTTGAAATGACTCAGACAAACAGTGACTTCATCTCTGCACTGAACCTGAACCCTGATAGGTGAGACAGAAACTGAAGCTTTTGATACATCTCCAGTAATATCATTAACACATATCACAACATTATTTTAACATTATTTACGTTTCATACTGCATCTGAAAACACACCCAGCAGGATCCCTTCTTACATATTGTAAACACTATGTGTTGTCTAATCGTTGTCCCATTTTTGTTATGCGGCAGTTGAAGAGAGAATGCACCTGGGGGTGTTTAATCTCTCTGGCACCCGAGGAGAGGCTTTCATGTGGGTTTAATTAGCTTCTTTAACAACCAACACAGGGTAGGACTGGCTGCGAGCCAAACTTTAATCTTAGTCAACTCTAAAATGATTATTACCTCTTTTCACACTGCACTTAACCCAGGCACAATTGCATTACTAAGCTGTTAACTGTTGGATAACTGTGTGATCTCAGTGGTGTGACAAGGAGCTAAATTAGCTCTGGGCCATCGGTCTATAAGGTACAATGGCACTGAGTTAGAAATATATAATGCGAAGAGTAATGTTTCTCTTTTATCATGAAATATAAAGAGCTTTCTGGATGTGTACAACTGGATTCAGCAATTGCTTTTCTTTTATGTTTCCATGTGTCAACTAGACTACCATGTGAGTCAGTGGCTTTATACCATATTTGAACCCAGATTAACATAATGCAATACTGGCGCAATAAAAACATGGCATGTTTGCATAAAAAAGAAAGATAATATGTTGCATGGGTATTCCCTTCAAACACTCTGCCACTGGCATGTGTGGGTAAAGCCTTCGCTGTATTCTGCATTTGGCCGCGGCTGAATGAGGAGGGTGAGTATTTGTGGATGTACAGTGGTTGGTTAAATACTGCAAAAACAGTGTAAACTGTGGAATTTTAGGAAACATCTCTAAGCTGCCAAAATTCATGAGTAACGGCACTGAATATTGCCAATAAAACAGTGAAAGTTGGTGGAATAGCTGAAAAAAACTCAATATATTTGGGTATTACAAAATGTATTATATTCTGTAGTACCAAAAAAGAAGGCTGAAGATACAGACGCAGCCTTCTGTGGATGTGTTATTAGAGCTGGCTACAAGCTCCAAGAGGATACCCAGTTCATTCCAATTAAAGCTGATCACCTAGTGTACAACACTGATTTATTAAGAGACCTGAATGCAGCATGGTAGCCTCAGAGTATTCGAATATATGTGACAGTTTTGGTGAGAGTTTGGACAGAGTTTTTTGTTTTTCTGAGCTGGACGGTATCACATGAACTACAGTTCAGACTGTGAGCACTATGCTTAACTTGCAGCACAGCCCAGCAACATTCCTGAATGCTTGAGAAGCGCACAGGAAATTAAGAACATGTAGAGACATCTCTCTGTGTATGTGAGAGGACACACCAAGCATAAATGCACTCACTATTTATAACGTTCTACACTGTGAACGAAAGGGGGGAGGCAGTAGGGGGAGAGGAGAGAGGTAGTGGAGCAGAACTCAGCTTGATGCAGCCCAGCGGACTGACTCACCTGAACAGAAAGGGCTGAGGGGGAGGGCGGGAGGAAAGAGAGAGAAAATTAGCCTGCAGCCTCAGGAAATGGCTGGAATGAGTTTAAAAGTACAGGGCACAGAACGAATAAGGATAGAATACAAGAGTGGGAAATAATACGGGAAAATAAACAAACTAGCTGAGCTGATATACAGCAGCCAAGCTGAGGCATAGATTGAAATGTCATATATTAGCAGGTTTGGAACTTAAAAGAGTAAACAGATTCAGGTTGAAGATACTTAAAATAGAAATGATTTGTGTAATCTGTTATTTCACAAAAGTTATTGATACATGTAGCTGATTCTTGAAAACTGGTTGTAACTGGTATTTCCTAGTGAATAGAAAATAAAGTATTACTGTATTATACTTCTCCATTTATGTTGAATCCAGGCAAGAGGCCTACAGAAAGAGGGTCGTTTTAGCTGACGTGCTCAAGCTGTGTTTAGCCAACTGACAAATTGACCACATAGCTAAGCATATACGCTGTGGTCTGTATGCTGGTGATGAACTCTCATGAGGAGGCAGGCAGCCATCCTGAGGTTCAGCAGTCAGCTAGTAATGACCAAAAACAACAACAACAACAATAACAAAAACAGTTGGCACATAGGCCCACCAAAATATGTGAACATTTTTCTTGCATGGAAACGTCAGAGTTGGAAAACAGGCCGCAATTTTGTCGTGTTGTGATAGATCTTGAGAAATCAGTGCTAGACTGATGACTAAGATCTTTATGTCTCTTTTCTGACTCATGGTGAAACCACTTGCTGCTGCTGCTCTCAGAAATAGAGTCATTTAAAGCCAAGTCACAGCTGAATTCTTGTAAAGATTGAAATGCAAATCTTTTAAGGGGGAGAATGTGAAAATAAGACATGAAGAATGTAGAGCACGGGGCTATTTCTTGACAACAAACTGCAAAAAGTATTTCGTTCATTTTTATTTTCGAGTTTCCATTGTGGTTCAAAAATAATAAGATAACCTTCAACAAACAAGCTGAGAATTAAATAAAGCCAGAATACAACAAAAGGCTTATATCATAATTTAGAGTGAGGTCAACCCAAATGAATTTTTAACTGAAAAATTTAAAAGAAAGTTGCCTTGTTCTTTGCTTTCCTGCAGATTTTTATTTTTTTATTTATTTTTTGAGCAAAGGAGTGGTTGACTCATTGAATTCCTCAGGAGAAAAGGGGGGCAAGAAAATTGCCTGAGAGAAAATGCACTTTGTCCACTAGTTGTTTTATTTTTAACTTGTATCCATCCTGGCATCAGGGATGTTACTTATCGTCATGTCTTTGCAGTGCTGGGAAATGCAGACATATCACATGGTTTAGTTTGTTTTTGTTTTTTTCTCCATCTATCTTCTGAGCCTGCTGACCACCTGATGGTTTCTTAAATGAGGCACATACGCATTACATTTCTTGTCTTGATTGACATGCAGTATTCGTAGAATGCATAAAACATATTACGTTGCTAGCTGACCAAACAACATTTATGTGTGAAAGAAGAAGGCTTATCCATTTATTTACGACAGCAGTTATGTTTTGGAAGTAACACATAGTAATTATCACTATAAAGAGGAAACATTTCAATGAATATATCTGCAAAACTGAATGTATTTGCAAAATATTCTAATGACTAATGGTTTTCATGGTTATACTGAGGCTTTCACATCACATCACTGTGTGTGTGCATGCGTGCATGTGTGTGTGTGTGTGTGTGTGTGTGTGTGTGTGTGTTTTATGTTCACCAGCTAGTTGCTAACTTTGTCCTTTCATTTCACACTGTCAAACTGTTTTCACCCTGTCATTGAAACACTGTCAATATAAAAACAGAGGTTAGGGAAAGGTCATGGCAGCCTATATAAACCTTTAATCGAAGAGGCAATGTAGCTGTCTGATCCAGAGGAAACCATCAGTGCTTGGATTTTAACCCAGCTTGGTCAGTTTATAAGACAACTTGGAGCCAGCACATCCCCCACACACACACACACACTCTCCTATCCTGATTAGCTACTCTGAGTCTTCACACCCAGACAGACAGACCCAATGAAAATCAGTGTTTAGTGAGGTATTACTGTATCTTGACATGATAATCTTCTTTTTACTCATGAAGCACTGCAGACAGCTCATACATTATCATTGAGTGCCTTTTCTCTTTCCTTCCCCTTCTTTCTCTGTGTCACATCCACTGACACCCCCCAACCCCCATCCTCAAAACACACACACACACACACACACACACACACACACACACACACACACACACACACACACACACACACACACGCCGTCCTCCCCCTCCGCTTTCTCTAGCTGAGGTGTCTCAGTGTGAAAACCTCATTATGTTCTGCTACTGGACCTGCAAACTCAATTGGACAGAGAGCTATAACCCAGGTCTGAGCCAGTGTTGTGTGTGGAGCGCATGTGCATTCATGTCGTGTGTGTGTGCGTGTGTGTGTGTGTGTGTGTGTGTGAGTGTGTGTGTGTGTGTGTGCATGTGCAGGCACCTGTATGTGTGATCAGTGGTGAATAAATCAGGCAGTGCTCCGTCAGTGTGACAGCGCCGAGGTGGGGAAATTTTCCCCTTTTTTGAGCATTGGGTAACTGTGGCAGCAGCATGAATTGGCCGGGCTGATGGTAAGAGGCCTGCGGCCAGCTGCACATTTCACAAGGCATTAACTGGCACTTCATTCACCCTGCTTTGCTCTGGGCCTTCAGCTATTACACTTAACACATACTCTGGTTCAATAAAACCCATTCTTTGGGACCAGCGTGTCTTTTTTCATCCAGTGTGTGCATATATATATATTACTATAGGAATGATTCATT